CCCCCAGGCTGGACTGATTGTAGCTAAATACAACTTCAGTCAAGGATTCATAATTGCCTTATTGTGGATTTTCCCTAATCCACACAAATCAACTCAAACTTATTCAGCCCCCTGTAATAAATTGCACCTCAAACACACACTTTATATTCTGGACAGGCCTATTTGACAACTTTTCTTGGCAGAACAGACACCAGTCCCAACTGTGTCCAAGTTTCAACTATCTAGCTGTTGATTTGACATTATGAGTTTGGATGTGGTTAATTCATCATTAATCCATCTGCTTCCATGATTTAGGTCTCACTTTGACTTCTGACACTTTTTGTCATTGTGACAAAATAAATTCTCCTCTGAACATAAAAGAATAAAATAAAATCTTTTCAGAAAGCATGCTGGTACACAAAACATTCCCGAACATCCTAATCAAATATGTGCTGGCTGTGGGGCATAAACAGAAAGTGTAAAAAATAAAATCACTATAGAGCTACACAGGATCAGTGCGGATTTATTTACCTTAAAATCAGTCAGTAAAGCTGAAATATATATTTAAATATCTAACATATTTCTTTTGGAATGATGCTGAACTGACTAAATTTATGTTGTGGTCTTGTGTTTTCTTTTTGAAGCCATTATTTCCAAGTTTTTCCATCATGACAATTGCATTAAAATTATTAATCTGTCACTTTAATTGAGTAATGTTGCTAAACCAAATAACTTTCATGTTTTTATATTGATATAAATACAATAAAATTATCATTGGTTGAAAATAATGGGGGTTGATATTTGTTTCTTTTCTGCCAAAAATAACTCTGGGTGAACAAGCATGCTGTCTGTGTTACACAGAAAACTGTTCTGAAAGTGCTGCCAGGAAACAGCATATCTCAGCACGCCCACCTTTATCTATACACACAAAAATACATAAATGTATTTATTCACAAACTGGTTTTGGAGCCAATAAATTCAAATAGGCCGAAACCATAACATCAGCTGAATTCTTTTAAAAAGAAAAACTTCCTTCCCACAAACAGCTCTGGAAAATATTCCAGGGAAACGAGCTGAACAAGTTGAACTACATCTTCCCAAATGTTTCATGAGGAAAAACCGCTGCTGAGTAAACGGATTTTTAAAACATTGGCACAAAAATAATTTTTTATTTCCAGCCGCACATTGAATTTCGCATGAAAATGTTTCTCTTTACCAGAAATTATTACCTCATCAAATTCACTACTGCTGTAATAACACATAACTGAATTGCTTGTTTTATTTGGTATTCGCACCCACATAAACCACAATGCAGATTTATTAGCAATTTCGTCGATTTTGTCAATACACTTCCATATAAAATATAAATATATAAATTAATCCCCTTTAAAACTGAATGCTTACAAGAATTTCATATAAAACAGCTCTGTCACATTAAAGAATAAATTACAGCTTTGATACAATTTGGAAGACTAGAATTTGTCATTTAAAGGTAATTACACTTCAGATGTTTCCACAGTTTAGATGTTGTTAAACCTTTCTCAGCAGGGACAATAAAGAAAATCCACTTCTGCATCAAATATTAGGAGTTTTTATAAATTTGACAGGTGAGCAGCAGCTCTTTGCAGCGGAATGTTCACAACAAATTTGACTGTTTTTTTGTTTGTTGATCATCTTAACCAAGACTGCAAGTCAAAATAAGGACTTGGTTGAGGATTTGTGTTTTGTTTTTCATTGCAGACTAGACATAAAAAGACAAAATGTTCAATTAAGAGACTGATCAGAGCTGAAAAGTGCAAACATAAAAAAACAACTAAATTAAAAAACAAACAAACAAAAGAAAACCATCGTTAGTCCTAGATAAAGTGCTGGGGTGTTTATAATAAGGCGTCTGTGAGCATCAGCAGCCCTGATTGGTTGTTCAGACTGATGTGAAAAGTATGAGAATTTAAAATAAACTTTGGCTGCGACTAGCAAAACGTTTTAAACGAGCTCAATCTGGAAGTGTGTATTTATATATGATTTTATAGTTTAAAGTCCAAAAGCCCTAATGCTGGACACAGCTATGGACAGAGTAGTGGTTCTGAACACGGCACCGGGCTCAGACGGTTCAGCTGCTGTCTTCAGGAGGTTCGGTATCAGAGCCCAGGACTATCCAGCTGCGGTCGGCAGCTCTGCTCTGGCTCTCCTGCTGCTCTGTGTACTGACTCAGCAGAGCTCCCACCTGCTCCTGGTCGTTGAATGGACTGGGACGGAAGCTGGACTCCAACCACGCTCGGTACTGGTGACACAAGATGACAAAAAACTCCTTATTAATAACATTATCAGTGTACTCAAGACCAAAGTTGTTTTAGGAGCCTGACATGGTTGTTTTTTTAAAGCGATCTTCTACCTGACCATGACAGTGTATTGTGCTTAAAAAAGAAAGTGAATAAGTGGAGGAAAAAAGAAGAAGAAAAGTTCAGGCTTAAAAAACTTTCTGTAGAAAGTAAAACCGTATCGTAAAGTCATGTATTTACGAGAAAGAAGAAATCTTAAGAAATACAGAACATGAAAGATGCTTTAACCTTCAGCTGATCATCTGAGCACTTTGATGGTTTTATTGAACTATTTTATTTGTCAAACTGTTTATTAGTTTTTTTTATAGATTTAACCAAATAAATTGAAACATCTCTGTTTAGAAGCTTCTAGTTACAAAGTGCCTAAAAATCCAAATCAACATTGTTTCTTTGATGTCTCTTAATTGTAGATACACTAAGTTATTTTTTTAAGTTAATAACTATATGCCTGAATGAATTAAAAACACTTAGTTAAGTAGCCAAACAAACAAACAAACAAAAACAATCTAAAAATGGCCAAGTACCTGACAGTAAATGCGTGAAAAGGCAACTAATGTCCGAAATCAATACTTTAAACAAACCTTCAGAAAATCAGAAGAACAATTAATCAAAGCTGCTTAAAGATATTACAGGAAAGTTTGGCTACTTACAAGAAAAATATATAAAAATAAGAAGCCAATCAAAGATTTTCCAAGTTATTGTGTGTTCGTTTTAACATTAGATTTTAATAAATAGCTTTAAAAGCTGCATTCCTAAGCAAAGATTTTTATCGCCAGTTCAACAGCAGTACTAGGTCATGCATGTTTAGTTTATTCAATTTATTTCATTCATAAAAACAAAACCATCTACAGTAAAATAAAAATAAAAAAATAAATCATGCTGTGGATGAAGGGTGCAGGGTGAAGAAAAAAACTCATTATTTGCCCCTTGTTTTCAAAAAAACAACTTAATAATCTCCATATTAACCACAAATACAACAAAAAACAAAGTGAGGAGTTCTAATCCCTGATATGATGTCCAGGAATTATTCACTAAATTTGTGCAATACCTTACTTAATCTTTAGAAAATAAAACAAAGTGAAAGTCATTGTGAAAGTAATGCATTCATCTTCCTAAAATTAGTACTGTATCTCCTGTGGATCAGGACTGATTCATAACATTAGTACAGATGTTTTAAAAAAAAGATTTAACAAGATGAAAGCAGAGATAACATCAATAAGAACCCTGATAGTAAAATCTGGAACTAAATTAGCTCTTGACTCACTGTGTCATGGACAGAAGCCACAAAGTGCTTTCAAGTGTTCCATTAGAAAAAAACTGAAAATAAAAACTCAACATTCAAGATTTTACGCTCAGATAAAACCTGAAATTTGGTTCACTCTGATAAAAACAAAACAAGACAAAAACAAACACAAAACAGAAGGACAAGCAGGAACCCTTTGGTTCTAACCAAAACAACCTAAAATCAATGCAGAAAGGTAAATGTAATTTTAACAACCAACAACCAAAATTATTATTATTAAATAAGTTTACATTTAAAACATCACCACATCCTCTAAACTCAACGAACCCAGTTTTAACTGCAACTTTCACTCCAATATTTTCACCTACATCTGATTTATTACTGACTTTAGCAGAAATTATTTAAAGATACTGTAAATCTGACTAATCTGAATTATAAAACAACTTTCCTGGTATCACTACCACTGGRCATCCAAACTATGTGTCCATGAAAAGCAAAGCTGAAAATGTTTTCACATCTTGAAGTGATCTGGGTTAAAAAAAATCAGCACCTGCACACTTCAACCTAATTCATACAGGTAGTTCCTTTGTTTTGTTTTTGTTAAAGCTTTCTTAGAGACACAAGTGACTTTGGATTCTTCACTTTCTATCTGACCCACGTGGGAAAATCACAAATACAGAAAACCTGTTTCCTCTTAAATCCTCAAAATCAGTGTAAAACCTGCAAACAACGAGCTGCTTTTTTTTTAGTCATGCTATGTTGCAAGATGCTGACAGTAATGCTAAACACGTGATGAGCAGTATCCAAGCTAATGCAATCCAAGCAAACCCCCTGCAGTTCCCCTTCTCCAGCACTTTGTCATGAAATTGCACATTAAGTGGTCACTACCTAAAGTCATCAAAATTATACTAAAGGCTGTAAACAAACTGTGGCACAGTTGTATTTGTTCGAACAACACAACACAACACAGATGGCTTCCTTAGAGCGATTGTTATTTATTTATTTTTTGTATAGTGTATGAGACTTTTGTTGTGAGTTGGGGCATGTTTTGGTTTTAAGAGTGACCGTGAGAAAATACCGCCATGTTAGGAAGCTGGGAAGCTGTTGATGCTAACAGAAATTTATTTAGCTTAGTCAGGTTTTGTGAAAAGGTTAGCAACAATTAACATTTTACCTGTTGTAGATAGTTCATTGTACATTGTTCATAAAGCATCAGATGAAGACTGATGAGTTAACAGCTAGTCTGAATAAAACGGACAGCTGCTCTTTTAAACCAAGTCCAGTCAAAATAAAATCACAGCAGTTTATTCAAGCACCACTTTATTATCCTCTGCATTGCCATCAGTTTAGCATTATTTACACGGAAAACTATTTCATTAATTTATAGTTAAGAGTGACAGCTTCTGGTAGGATATCACCACATTTCTGTCAGAGAAATCACAACGTGAACTTCACTGGGATWCAAATGTGTGTGAAATATACCACTATATCTGTTATCATGGGAGTTGTTTTAGGGTTGTGGGAATCCACTTAGGTCTTGTTTCCACTTAAAGAGAAACTTCAGAAATAGTAGATGTGCGTGACCTTTCAACATATCTCATTTTTAAAGATATAAAGTATCTTTTTAATTTTAATGTTAACATGTAAAAATCAGAGTTATATTTTATGGGTCATATCAGTGAATCACAACTTTTCAATACTGTGAATCATTAWTTCCTGCTTGATGGAATGGAAAACAAATAAACAATGTTTATATGTTTTTTTAGGGCTGTCAAATGATTAATATTTTTAATCTGATTAATCCAAAAGTAGCTGTGAATCAATCAAGATTAATCTTAAATTTAATATACATTTCTATTGCACATTGATAAAATAAATTACTTGAGTTATTAATTAGTTTTTAATGTTTTTATTTAGAAAACAAAATTGATGCTTAGACATGATTTTTTTAAATATAAAACAGGACCTAAAAAATGCTCCAAACATATTTGAGTCAGTGAAATTTTGTGCAGAATAATGGTTAAATCAAGAATTCAAGGATTTTCATTCCAAATGAGAACGACATGAGGAATGAAAGATAGATACTAAGGTCACAATTGTCAGCAAAACATAAATAAATGAAATAAGCCATAAGAAGACAAAAAAAAAAAGCTGTTACACATGGAGTTTTTTTATTTTACTTTATTTATTCAACCTTTATTTATCCAGGTAAACTGTTTGAGAATCACTTCTCATTTACAAACATGACCTGGCATGCACTGAGTGCACTGCAATATACAAACCTACATATTCAGCCATAGTAAAGTGATTGTACATTTTAATTAAAAATTTTAATCTATGCCCATGCAGCACTAAAATTAAGCAGAATTAACTCAATTAATTTCACAGCCCTAGTTTTTTGTGTCACATCTAGTCAGTACAGCACAGTGCTTTAAAGTAGAAACAGCAGTTACACAGCCTATTTAAAACATCAATGCAGAGTTTTAAAAGCAAAATTATTTGAAGTCAGAATGTGTTTACCTCTGTGACTTTTGTGTTCTGGTACTCCTGCAGCTGCTGCTGGAAGCCGTAGTTTGGGCCGACAAACGAGCGAACAGCCTTGACGGCAGACAGACAGTCCTCGCAGCTGTAGTGAGTGACAGTCATCAGGTAGGCCACCACCATGGTGGTGCTGCGGGACACACCTGCGAGGCTGGAGCAACAAAAATAACTTCAATCTGCTAAGTTTTGAAAGATGAAAAAGAAAACAAAATGTGCCATCATTTGCAGAAAAGAAGATTTGACACTTTCACAAAACCTACCAGTGAACCAAACAAGCGCCACCATTCAAACGACATTCATGGATGAAGGCAATACACTTTTTAAAATGCTGTAATCTGGAAAGTGAAAGAAAAAAAAAACATTAACTCTGTCTAACTTATAATGACTACTTACAACCTGGATTATTTCCATCTGGTTCAATATACTTTATTCAAAATACAAAATAACATCTAATAAAATTTATATAATTCATGTTTTTATTGAATCTTGAGTGAACACAGATTCAACTAAACATCCTGGAAGTCTATTTTGAGATGTTTTGGGCTGAAATAGGCCTCAAAATTTATGTTGTGTATATATA